TTTGGCTCTGTGTTTCTTATTTAATAAAACCATTCAGAATTTCATCTACAGGCTCTGATTCTAGAGCCAAGGTGTGTTTCTTTGGCACTGGTTTCAGGCTCAGGGTGGATTTCTTGGGTTCTGGGTTCGGGGCTGAAGTGTTTCTTTCACTGGCTCGGGTCCTAGGGTCAGGGTGGATGTCTTTGGCTGGCTCGGGTCCTAGGGTCAGGGTAGATGTCTTTGGCTGGCTCGGGTCTTAGGGTCAGGGTGGATGTCTTTGGCTGGCCCTTTTACCCTACAGTGTCTCTTCACAGCAATAAAAACCCTAAGACTGGCAGCAAGCCCAGCAATTTTTATTTTTAATTGTATGTGCACGTGACTGCAGTTGCTTGTGGACGTCAGAAGAGGGTGTCAGGTCCCCTGGAGATGGAGTTACAGGTGTCTGTGAGCTGCCACGTGTGTGCTGAGAACCAAACCTAGGTCCTCTGCAAGAGCAGCCAGTGCTCTTTGTTTGGGTGGGAGCTCCACCTCAACCCCTGGCTCCCTGGCATCCCTATACCCAGAGTCTGGAATGTTCAGACTGAAGATCCACCTCAACTCCCCTCCCTCATCTCTCTCCCCAAACCCGTCCCTTCAAAGCCTGCCAAACACAGCTCCTCCCCCAGAGAGGCTCAGGACGGCTCCCACAGGGTATGTAAGCTGCATCCCAGAAAACAGACACGTGGTTCTTCTGGTCTCTCGTCCCATTCTCCTCTCTGAGGCAGGGGAATCGCCCGGGAACGCTTCACCCATTAAACCTGGGCTTTTCCAATTCCGTCTGATTCAGTTTAATTTGGATTGCTGCATTGGTGGAGAGGCCTTCAGGGTGAAAAAACTTACTCTCTGGAGGTTCTACCAAGGGGGACTGATTTTCCCCTAACGGCCCAGGGCCATGAGGTGGGAAAACACCCCTCTCCCCTACAACTGCTCTCCACCCGACTGAGGTCGGCTCCCAGCTAGATAAGTTTCCTTTTCAAGTCATTGCCTAGGAGGCCCAGGGCCTCTTCATTTTTTGGGGGTGTCCTGCCAAAGACGCAGCTGCGCCAGGCCCCCAACCTGTTCCGGAGCAAAGGGCTGCCTTTGTTCCGTGGGACCCCTTCTCCAGGAGACATTCTGTGGAAGGGAATTTCCCATACAACCCCCCCCCCCCGTTTTTTTGACCCAAGACTTACCACATTGGACGCACTGTGCTAGGTTTCGGGTCCCCAGCATAGACTTGAAAAATGGCACTTGCCATTCAAAGCCTGATCCCCAAATGCCCCTGTGGGGTCTTTTACAAAATTTATTCAAATTGGGGCCGTCTGATACAATTGGATAGAACTGGGCTGGAGAGATGGCTCAGAGGTTAAGAGCACCGGCTGCTCTTCCAGAGGTCCTGAGTTCAATTCCCAGCACCCACATGGTGGCTCACAACCATCTGTAATGAGATCTGGCGCCCTCTTCTGTGTACATAATAAATAAATTAAAAAAAAAAAAACAATTGGATAGAACTGCCCTGCGTCCATGGTTTTTGGGTTTTGCACTCCTGCCCTCCCTACAGGGGCCAATGTCTCACAGCATCGGTCCATTCACTGCTGGAGACACTGACCCCTCCCCCACATCCCCCAAACTCTACCTACCCAACCCCCTCCTCTGGTGCCACAAATCTAAGATCAAATTCCTCCTCTTTCCCTCCTGTCCTCCCCTCTCCTAACGGCTCCCCCCCCCCATCTCCCAATGCCTCAAACTACACACTGGACTGGCGCCCCCAAATCTTCCCTGGTTTCTTCTCATACTCGGTCTCACCAGACTCCTGCCTTCCCACCCGTTTCATTTCTCAGTCAGCGCCAGATACTAGAAAAAAATTAAAAAGGCTGAGGAGGATCCCCAAACTCCCCTACAGGAACTGGTGGAAATGGCTTTTAAAGTTCTTAATGCTTGAGAATGACAGCTGAGTCAACCCGACAGACAAGGCTGCAACAGAACACGCTCCAATCCCAAGCCTTAGCAGCTGCTCTGAGGCCACCAGGGCCCCCACAAGGGGTACAAGGGAAGTCAATCTTGCCGGAGCTCAGCCCAAATCATCTCCACCAAAAACCTGTTTCAAATGCAGCAAGCAGGGCCACTGGTCACAGTATTGCCCTGACCCCAGCCATCCAGGAGGCCATGCCCTGTCTTCCAACAGCCTGGGCACTAGAAATCGGAATGCCCCCATGTGGGCTCATCCTCTATGCCATGCCATATTCAGCCTCACCAACATCAGCAACTGATATTCTTCTGGCCTTTGAACTCCTAAGCCTGGCAGAGGACTGATGCGCCTAGACCTGCTGAGTCCCATTGCCCTCCCATAGGGACCTCTCCGAGCCTAGCGTGATACTGCGGGTAGCGGGTAAGTCCATTGACTTTCCTCCTCTGGACACAGGAGCTACCTATTCTGTCAACATCTCACTCAGGTCCTACAGTTCCCTTGCCAATTTCTGTCACAGGAGTGGACAGGACCCCTTCCTTCCCACTTAGGACCCTGACACTTCCCTGCATTCCTGCAGGGCGATTCTTCTCGCTCTTTTCTGGTCATACCTGCTTGCCCTGCACCTCTGCTTGGTCGCAATGTTCTCAGCCTTTTTGGGGGCCACACTCACCTTGGCCCCCACACTCTCCTGAGTATTTCACAGGTCCATTCCCGGGGCCCTCCAGATATGTCAGCCTCTGCACCAGCTCCGAGGACACCAACCAGGCGAGGATTGGCAAGTGGACTTCACTCACATGCCCACACCTAAACAACTCCGATACCTCCTAACTATGGTTGACACCTTTATCCTCAGGAACGGCTGAGAAGGCCAATGGACTCATCAAACAACAGCTCACCAAGCTCTCCATTGAACTCAGGTTATCTTGGCCCTCCATCTCCCCATTGCCCTTACCGGCCTCCAGGCCACCCCACGCTCTCCTACAGGCCTGAGCCCTTTTGAGCTCCTTTACAGAAGGCCCTTCCTCCTCGTTCACCACCTCCCAGCCCAAACTCCCCCACTGGCCGGGTACCTCCTCTACCTCTCTCTTCTGAGGTCCCTTCTCTGTTCATACTGTGATCCTCACCACCCCTCGGCTGCCAAGCTCCTAGGACATCCATGCTGGTACCACTCTCCAGGCTCAAGTGGGCACCTATCCAGGATACATGGTCTGTCCAGAAGCTGGGACCCTCCACCCTCTGGTTTTCCAAGATGTCCCACTAAAGGGTCTATCTGCTCTTCTGCTCTGTACATTCATCTTTACAGTACAACTAGGGCAGATGTTAATGATCTTTTTTTTTTTTTCCTAGAAACTTGGCTTTTTTGCTTCCTCAAGAAACAGATGCCTGAAGTCTCCAGGATAACAACCAACCAGATGCACCCCCACTCACACCTCCTCTGAATGTGAGTTCACCAATTCCTGACTCCTCTTCCCAAGTCGCCCCATACCCACAGGAAGTAGTCAGACTTGAACCGGCGTCCCTATACCCAAAGAGTCGGGAATGTTCTGGTGGAGGATCCACCTCAACTACCCTCTCCCATCTCTTTCCGCAAACCCTCCCCTTCAAAGCCCACCAAACACAGCTCCTCCCCCAGAGTCTCAAGACCACTCCCACAGGGTATGTAAGCTTCATCCTAGAAAACAGACAAATGGTTCTTCTGGTCTCTCATCCCCATCTCCTCTCTGAGGCAGGGGAATCACCCAGGAATGCTTTACCCATTAAACCTGGGCTTTTCCAGTTTGGTCTGATTAGGTTTAATTTGGATTGCTGCATTGGTGGAGAGGTCTTCAGAATGAAAAAACTTATCATTCTTTTTTTTTTTTTTTTTTTTTTTTTTTTTTTTTTTTGGTTTTTTGAGACAGGTTTTCTCTGTGTAACAGCTTGGCTGTCCTAGAATTCGCTCTGTAGACCAGGATAGCCTTGAACTCAGAGATCTGCCTGCCTCTGCCTCGAGAGTGCTGGGATTAAAGGTGTGTGCCACTGCCTCCTGGCTCTTAAAGAGTTATCTAGATCAGGGTGAAAGGTGGCCTTGTTTGTTCAATGCCCCAGCCCCCTGTGGGCAGCACTTCCCCTACACAGAGGCCTGAATTGTATAAGAGTGACGAAAACTAGCTCAGGATGCACAAGCCAATAGCATGGACCACCCCACCTCCTCTCTGTTCCCAAGGTTTCTGCTTTGATTTCTCTGAAACCACAAGGATGACAAGACCTGTGATGTGGGGGGGATGCTCTAACTTCTATTCCCCAACACACCATTTCCCTCCCACCTTGGGAGCTCACTACCTGTCCAGCAGAATGGATCAAAGCTCACCCACACCTGGAGAGGGAGACACAGAATCACAAACACATGTGTGTGGACGCACGCGCGTGCACACACACACACACACCGAAGGGAGAGCTAGGGCTGTCAGATACTGCTGCAGGTCACATGCTCAGTCCTGAGGCTGCAGCTGTCACTGCTCCCATTCAGGAAGAAAAGCAGGGCGCTGCAGCAGCTGCATCCCAGACCCTGATACCCAAGCCAAGCCACCACCACTCCAAAGTGCGTCCCTTCTGCAGGACATCCACACACCAACGGATGAGGCCACTAGGGACTGTCCCCAAATGCAGGTGGAACGATGAGGCAGGGGAGGGATCCACGTGACAGGCTGGGTCCTGCACTCACAGCGTGGACATAGTACAGCAGCTTTCTTCGCTCTGAGTCATAACTGAAGGTGGCTGTAAACACACTGTAGAGCGGAGCCCGGGTTTGAACTCCTGACCTTCCTGCCAGGATCGCAGGTCTGCTCCACCAGTGCAAGCTACCCAAAACCTTCTCTAAGGAAGCTGACGAGCAGAGACGGCCAGACCCTTGTCTAAGGACACGGAACCACAAGCCTAATGTTTTGTTGTATTGAGGCCGAGTTCCACTGGGCAATTCGGGGAGGCTGGCACACACCCATCACAGTCCCCCTCTTTCCTTCCCCTATTCTACCCCCTGCACCCCGAAGGCTCC